CAAGCCTGGTCCAAGGAAGTCTTATATTTCACAAGTCAGTGTTAGTACCAAGCAAGCCTGGTCCAAGGAAGTCTTATATTTCACAAGTCAGTGTTAGTACCAAGCAAGCCTGGTCCAAGGAAGTCTTATATTTCACAAGTCAGTGTTAGTACCAAGCAAGCCTGGTCCAAGGAAGTCTTATATTTCACAAGTCAGTGTTAGTACCAAGCAAGCCTGGTCCAAGGAAGTCTTATATTTCACAAGTCAGTGTTAGTACCAAGCAAGCCTGGTCCAAGGAAGTCTTATATTTCACAAGTCAGTGTTAGTACCAAGCAAGCCTGGTCCAAGGAAGTCTTATATTTCACAAGTCAGTGTTAGTACCAAGCAAGCCTGGTCCAAGGAAGTCTTATATTTCACAAGTCAGTGTTAGTACCAAGCAAGATATATACATGGTCCACTATTTATATATAAATATAGTCATTTAGAAAGTTGCCTTCAGATACACTACAACCAATATTATAACTCTTACAATCCCTCTCGTTATTTTAACAATTAATTCATGTAGGTATTTCACAACATTCCTTGATAACAGAGCATAAAATAACATTACAATATAACAGACAAGATTAATAGCAACATTAACAAAGTCATAGGAGTAATGTTTAGCCCCACAAACAAAGTCATCATATTTTAAGCCTCATGTTCTGAGGCTATTCTTAGCATTTTGCACAACGATGTTATTAGGTTAAAATAATCTCATGTAATTTAGTTAGTTTCTCTATTAAGTTAAATGTCAAACCATGTTATTCATATCAATATTTTCCTCCGGCATATTCATCTTTATATTGTATTCAATTGTAATTATCGATCTTCTCTAACTAGGCTAAATGAGTAGATGTTTGTTAATTGAAATTCATTGTAAATTAAATTTCTTTGTAATTCGTTTCTTAATCTTGTATTTTATTCCTTAATTATTTTATTTTGTAATATAATCTGTACATTTTTAAATATTTTAGTAATGTAGACTGTATACTTCTTAAAATTCTTGTACACCTCGTACATAATTCTAAAAAAAGTTGTTTTTGTTGAGAATGTTTTTGACGTTTCAGTTGTGTTCCTTCAGTTTTCATTAGGAAAATAATGATTATCATTATAATTGTCTTTAGTCTGCTGATGACAATGGAAACAATTCAGTCAAAATGTTGACGCATTCTCAGAAAAAAAGAACAGTTCTTTTCAGAACTATCTACATGGTTTACTTACCACAAGCATTTGTCACTTAGTTCACAATACAAATCATCAAACAATATGTGTTTCCTAATGCTCTTTTCTTGATCAATTTTAGTGTTGTATAATTTTTCCTTGCAAGCTTTGTAATTTCTTCTTTTTTTGAGTTTTAATAATAAAAATAATAAAATCAATTTTATCTTGTATCATAAAGCAAACCTAGAATTAGGCCTGGAGTGTTCAACACTTAAATAAATGTTAAGCTATGAGTGATTGTCTTTGGGTAAATGTTTGATTATAATTAGAGGATGAAAGGCTTATTTTAAACATCCATAAAATAATGAAATTATTAAATAGCCATCCTAAAATGTGACTGGCAAGTCAGTAGTAATTAATTAATCACATTGCATTCAGGCATACATCTGGACATGGAATATACTTGATTTATGTCTTCAATCAAGTCTTTGATAACAACTGTTTTGGCTCAAAAAAAATGCAAGAAGTCGAGAACAGAATTTATCATGTATTTTTAAATATAAGCAACCTACATATGTCAAAATATCCAATGATGTTTGAACACGATTAAAACGTCTCTCAGATGTCAGGCTATTAATCAATATTGACAAAGGAATGCAAATTAAACAACAAAAATACTCCCAGAATAAATCACCAAACAAAACTCATTGATTCATGTTTCTTAAATGGACATTTAATATAAAAATTAAATTGGACAGTATTTGAATTCAGATGAATTCCATGTACTAATAATGTAAATTTTGTATTGTCCAGTTTGATAAGTTATCGTGCACTGATGGATTTATTTCTTGCTGGATGCTCTGCAGTATTTTATACCTCATGATTTATCAATATTAACTAAAATCTTAACTAAGGAGGGAATCTAGGTAAAAGTGCTAAGTGGTTGGGGGGAGAGGGGCGGGGGAAGCCAAGGAAAATCCCAGGAGCCAGGGGCCCGAAACACTAGGGTGAAAATATAGATAAAAAGAATGATGCCAAAATTTCATAATTTTAGGTGACTACTTTATAATCTTAATTTCAGAATTAATTGATTTTTACTTTTTATATATTTTGTTTCCTGAACTTCTTATTTTAAAGATCATCAGTGGAAGGCAGAAAAAAATAAAAATAAATAAATTTTCTTATTTAGCAAATAGTTTTGATCTTACATTAGTGGTTGATTTTTGTTACAACAGTGGTTAATGTTACATTAGTGGTTGATGGTTACATTAGTGGGTGATACAGACCCCTGCCATTTGGACAGCTATTCTGAACCAGGGCAGCTCTCAACCCTAAATCTAAGTCAAGCTCTATAAATCTACTCTAATTGTGAGGCTTAGGAACTGTGCCACCAAGCTAAAAGTTAATTTAAGGCCATGACATAGTTTCATCATGTAAGTGACAATTTGCAATCTCTTTTGGATGCATATTTGATTGTAATTTGAAGTTATTAGACACCACATTGAAAATACACAACATTAAATTACAATTAACTTTTGGTTCGTCAATGTGTAACATGCTCTATAAATCTAGTGTCATTATTAGGCTTTACGAAATGTGCCACCATGCTTCAATTCATCATACTGAAAGTTAAATTTTATTTAACTAACAACCAACATAGATAATTACATTGAGAAACAAAAAAAAACTAAATCAAACCCACTTCTACAACCAAAAGCTTTCTACAGATTTATTTTTGTTTGTTTGTTTGTTTAGCATTAGCATTAGGTCATTTTTGCCAGAAAACTTTACTTTTGTTCAGCTGTATATTGGTACAATTTGGGATTTCCATTCTAGTTACAATGTTTTGATCTTAAAATGACTGTATGTATTTATTTCTACAGATGTATTTGCGCAGGATACATGCTGTACCAGAAGTAATACATTTTGAAACAGGATTTTCCTGTAATAAATCAGTGTAAATTTCCTGTAATAAATCTTACAACTTTATTTTTAAACTATGTATGTATCTGTTGTTCTTGAATCTATTCTTTATTTTAAATGTATGTCTATATTAATTATTGATTTTAAGTGATCAATCAACAACTTATTTTTGGTATTTGGGGTTTCCCCTCTTTTTGTTACCATCATTTTCATAATCTGTTTTAAAGTGATGCTTTAAATAATGATTAATTCACCTTTTTCAGATTTTATCAGCTTTTTTGCACATTTAGTTATGTTTCATATATTGTAGATTCATTTATCCAGCAGCCTCAATTTTTCAATACAACAGGTCGGTGTATGCATTGTGGGTTCCAAGTTGTTTCTACCCCCATTATTCTACACCTGACAATGCTTGGCCGAAGAACTACATGACATTTCTGTAGTCATTTTTGTGATTGAAATAAAATGTTACATTTCAAAGCTTTTCCACCACTGTGAGATCAAATGATTATTATTTAAATACCTTTACAGTTTCCTCTTTTGCTGACTCTATAGAAAGGGCTTAAAAAATATGGGAATATGGTTGTGCAGTGCTGGAGTACTATTAATAGGGAGTTTTCGATGCACGACAGATGACGTCATAATTTATTCATCTTGCGTTGCAGAGTATGTTAATTTCAGGATTTTACGTGCTCGACGTATGTTAGTTACGGGTTTGCGCATGCGTATTTCGATTTGTTTACAAAATGGGCGGAGCTATCGTGCTGCATGTTGGGTACTAAAGTTAAATTAAGGTTAACGATAAAGTAAGGTTAACGTCGTGCATCGAAAACTCCCTAATAATATTTATCTGGAAATCCCTTTTGAAACAGCAGCACACATCACTGTGATGGTGTATTCATACACAAGGTAGAAAAAATCTATTATCACATCAGTAAATAAAGAACTGAAAACCAGTTACATCAAAGGGCATTGGCCTAGTACAATGTCAGGGAAAGGGAATATCTAAACAAAACCGTTAGATAAATGTACTTATGACTTGGGGGAATAATAATACATAGAAAAATGTAAACACAAGCAATACATTTCTTCAGTAAGTTCTGCCACTATTCAGAGCCGGCGAAGCATTTAGCAAAGTGTGGGGCCCCACTGGCGTTTCTTTCTGATCAAAAGGGCCTGGGCCCCCCGGTTCTGCTGGCCATGCTATTGTATTTTCATGTTTCTGTGAGTGGTAGTCCTTCTGTTCAGATAGTATTGCTCTGATGTTGTTGTGTCCTGACATTATAGGTTTAAACAACAGAATCAGCTGCTAAAAGCCTGTTTTCGCGAGCTCTGATTGGTTGCACATTCTTTTGCTACGCAAAAAGTATAAATAGTTTGAACTACTGATTTCGCTGAAGCAAAAACTCTGGTAGAAATGTGAATGCCCATGAACCAACGTTTTAGATTTGCTCATGCTCATCCTACTATTTTGATATCTTCACACACCTGAATTTTCCTAAATATAACTACTAGGCTATTATTCTCAGTTCATTTTTTCTATTATAACTTATATTGTTTTTCTACTTGACGACAAATGATGATGATGGCCATGATGTTATTTCATATTGTGTTATAATTATAATCTATAAATGCATTGATACTTCAATTGATATTTTCCTTTAATTCATTTATTCCCCCAAAGTTTGATGAGAGTGATCTATCCAGCTGAAATTGATCATTTGCAGATTGATTGAACCTTTAGATGATTAAAAAACTTAGAACTTGTAAAATTAGTAATAAATTAAAATTAAGTATGATGTAATGAAATGTTATTACCGTATGTATTTGTTACCATTATACTGCATGATATAATTAATATTATACCAATTATTATTATACCAATTATATTTCAGGACAGTGTTGCATATTTTGGTTTTCCATTTGAGTTCGAACTATTTTTCCGCAATGATGGTGACGTCGAAAAGATTGAATCGCTTCCACGATGGCCTCAAATATTCTTAGAAGTTTTGTCAATTGACACTTGGAAGCGGTACCGGACCGAGGGCTATGCATACACATCAATGCCCAACACATCTGGTATGCTAATAACTCAACTTTGATTGCTTTATAACTCATTACCAAAATCTATCATATCTTTGTTTATAGTTGTTTCCAATTGTATCTAGCATCTCCTATTATTGGATATTCATTTATTTATCCTAAGTACTTTCCCAGTACTTTGCTGATGATTGCTTAAATAGCATTGTCATAGTGTCACTGAACATTGCATTCATAGTGGCGCTATAGAAATCCTTGTTGATTGATTGATTGATTGATTGAATAGCAAGTAAATCATTCTATTACATGAATTAATGGCAGTTCATATAAGTAATGCATCACAAACATAATCATACACCATAGCAAGTGTATTGGTTGGTTAAAAGGATTTTTATTTCCTTCTCTTAAGCGCAGTCCAGAATATTAAATTTTATTTAACAAAAACATGTGACATGCCTCTATATGGTCATGATAACATCACATCATGACTATATATAGACAAATCATGACTATATATAGACACATCATGACTATATATAGACACATCATGACTATATATGGGCATACAGCAGTGTTTCGTCGATCAAATTTTATTTGACAAAAACGTGCCTTGACCATATATAGGCACATAATGACTATACTTGTATTCTATAAGTTATTATTATAATATTGAACAAAGGATTAAATTAATACATGTAAAAATTGATTATGGGCCAGCCTAGAAACCTAAATAGAATTTTTGAATGCAATAATTTAAGCCAGGCTTGCACTGTTGGCCGACAAATTCATCTCCACTCTTGACGACACCACATTCTCTGCTGAGCGTAGGAAGTCTGAGCGGATCATCTGTCACACATTCCTTATGTTGCAGTTTCCATTGGAATCGCATCGGCCGACCGGTAGTGTAAAAATGCATTATAAGATATTATACTACTGTTGTTAATTGATTTAATAAGTCAGTTACCTTTACTTTTTGGTTTCTCATATGTTGCCTGGATTATACTACCTTAGGAAAAGTAATTATATCTTGCCCCCAAACATACAGTCAATGCTGTACAAGTCAATAATTGCACCACATTTTAATTATTGCAATGTTGCGTGGGGACGATGCAATCAAACTTTACAAAATAAAATTCAAATATTAAAAAATTGGGCTGCTAAAATTATTGCAAAGGTCGCAAGATATGATTCAAGTTCAGAAGCACTCACTAACTGAAACTGGAATAATTTAAACACCAAACTGTATCAAGATGAAGCTATAACCATGTTTAAAATAATGAATTCTCAAATGCCAACTTATTTCAAAAACAAATTTCAAGAGCGCAATACAACATACATGACCAGGTCTAAGGACAAACTTAAGGTACCCAAACCCAGCACAGAATATAAGAAAAGAAGTTTTTCCTATCAGGGAGCCATTGTCTGAAATAACCTAAACCTCAATATGAGAATGGCCTCAAATGTTCAAACTTTTAAAAAACTATTAACAAATAATTGAAAGTTACTTGCATAAGATAATACAGTAATTGTTTTATTTTGGTTTCTTTTACTTCTTTATTTCTGTTTGTCTTGTAAATGTTTTAGTAATTTAAATTTTGTTATTATGTACTTCAGAAACAGCCTTGTGAAAAACACATTTAATTTGTGATCAAGTTTTCCATTTTCAAATAAAGTCATTATTATTATTATTATTATTATTATTATTATTATTATTATTATTATTATTATTATTAACAACATAGCCCTAGCCTAAAGCCTAGCAGGTGTTAGGAAACAGCAAAGGTTCAACAGTCTTTAGACTTTTCACATGCCCTGACCTATCCAGAAAATAATGTGTAATTATGACCAAGCTTGAATAATATTCACTTTTGTGTCTTGGTCGGGCTTGAAATACACATACAAAGATAATTGACACTGAGAAACCATCATTGAATGGAATATGTCATTTATTAAATGATATTTTGTCTGTGTAGGGAGATATTACTGAGCTTTTGCAAATGCAACATGGACGTCCTCTAGGACTAAAAGCAATGAACTGTGACCGTCCTTGATACTCGTCTGCGTTCATTTGCAGTTTCACAACTAATGGTAGTGCGTGACGTCGTTAAGCTGACAGACGCCCTCTTTTTTCGGTATCCTAAAGAGCTCTTATTAGCTGCTTGGTATCCCTAAAGAGCGCTGATTGGCTGCTTGAGCTAGTCGTTCGTTTTTTCTCAACGGACGATAAATTGGCAAAAAACAGTTGGTGATTTTGCCAAGAAGCTGCAGGGTTCGTGCATGCGTAGATCGATTTTCGTGTCAGATTACCGTCCTTGAGTCCGTCCATCATTGATGCGAAAGCTCACTAATACCATAGAAGAAATTGTTTTTCAGTTCTAATTTTGTTTTTTGATTTAGCTCCAAACGACCTCTGCATATTATTGTATAAACACTAACATACAACAATACATAACAACAAAAATTCTGCTGATGAACTTTTTTGAATACATCAAATAACAATTGCAGTACCTGTACTGTAAAGAAAATATGTATAAATATACATGGATACAATTATAATTTGCAAAAAACATCACAGCATTCAACAAAAAATAAATGAGCTATTGCATATGTAGAGCTTGGTAGTCATGGCAACAAATTAATTTTTTGAATACATAAACATAACTAGCTTAAAATTTGTTCAAAGGTCAAACTATATAATATTGGAAAAAATTTGCACTATTTAGGAATGGAAAATTACATTGTTGTTCAAATATTTTGATTGATTGATAATTAATTTTTGTTTTGAAGTTTATTAGTTTAATAATAATAATAACAAAAGTGAATGATTGGGGCAATTTAAAGGCTTTTATTAGGCATGAGTCTTGCGGTCAATAAAGGTCAATTTTTTGACCTGAAGAACATTATGAGCTCAAAGTGTCATGGTTGAAGTTCTATCCACACTCTCAAATTTTCTTTGACATAAAAAAAATTATTTTTATTGAATTTTTTTTCTTTAATAAGAAAGCGTTGTATGGAGATATATATAGTCATGATGTGCCAATATGTGACCAACTCTGGCAAAAAACCAGCTGTTTGTCTGAAAAATTCAAAATTGAGCTTTTGGTAATTATAAATTCTGCATGTCTTCTTTAAGACAGTGTTTACTTGATACAAATTGGTTAAGTTTTAGCGAAATTATGAGTATTTTTTAAATCATTGTATATCAGCCAAGTAGGTTCTGAGAAAACAGCTTCCAAAGATTCCAAAATAGTTTATTATTATAATTCGTATTTTTAAAATAATTTTAATATGCTTTTCAGTTAGATTTAGTGATTGATATTTTTGCAGGAATGTTCTTTAATATTCTTTTATAAAATGCAAAAACCTGAAAATTGTGATGCTCTAACGTTAAGGGTGCTTGTGTGAAAAAAGAAATTGTGACAAACGGCAGGTTTTGGCAGAGTCGGTCACATATGTTTATGGACATGATGTGATGTCATCATGACCATATTTAGGCATGTCACATGTTCTTATTAAATAAAATTTGATAGCCTCGATAGGGCTTTAGTGGTGCTACAATGATTTATTGTATCAGTGTATGACTGTTCATGCCATGTAAAATAAAAACTTATGTACAAAGATTACAAGTGATATCATTAGTGCAGATACAGTACAATTGTTCCAGTTTAAATAGGGAGGCTAATTAAATTGATTGACTTTGTTGCATCATTTGGAGGTAATTTTATAAATAATTGGTATTTTCCCTTCTTGATACTTACAATTTGAGGACCTGTAGACTGATTGCTTTTCTTTGAACTTAATCTTTAATCTCTATGGTACATCTAGTAATCTGTCGACTTTGCATATGTGTGCAAATTAATGACTGAGTTGAGAATGTTAATTTGTTAGTTGTGCTTATTTATTTAAGTAAACTTTGTTTGACCTTTAGTTTTAAAGCACTTGCACTGAAATTATATTTTATGTAAGAAAAGTAACAATGTTCAGCAGCTATTTCATCAGGGAGATGATCTCATTAACGTAGACCGGGGCCAATTCAGACCTTTTCAGAATGGAGTAAAAAACATAAAGTAACATACATGAACGCCAGCTTAGCCTAATTAATTGACATGTGCATACTAGCATACGTGTAGGGCATGTCGCCAGCATATGCTAATTAATTGAAATGCGCATGCAAGCGTACGTGTAGAGAATGACGCCAGCATAGCCTAATTATTGAAATGCGCATGCAAGTGGTAGTGTGGAGCACGACGCCAGCGTATCCTAATCGATTAAATGCTTGCAATATTCATGTGAGCGTATGCATACAGTCACGAACAACCGTTGGCCAAGTCAGAAGAACAACACATAGACTGACTGTGTTCAGGCAGGCTCACCAAGGTCATCTCACCATCCCACTTGTGTATGGTCCATTACTTCTCAAGATACTCCACTTATTTTAAAATTAAAACAGCCAAGAACTGCTAAAAATATTCATTTATATCAAAAACAATCCTTGACTAGAATAAAATTTACATGAAAATTGAAAATATTTAAAAAAAAAAAATTAATGGAGGAAACATTGGATTACTTCAGAAGCCAATAATCAAAACAACTAACAACCACTCCTTCTCACTTTGCTTCTTGAAGTGTTGAGGATTTACACATAAATCTGAAAACCTTCATATTTCATCAACAAAAAATAAATGAATACAAAGTAGTAAACAGATTTAGACAAAAAACTCTCAAATATTTGTTGTATTTTTATACTAAATAATTACAGTTAGAGAAATTCTAATATGTCTAATGGATGTGGGTAAATGCTTGAATTCATGGGGATAATTCCACATTAGCAGGATCCAGGGCAGCTCCAGTGGTATGAAATAAAATCAGTCAGTCAACAGACAAAAATTTCATAAAGAGCCAAAAATGAAATTGGTGGTTTAAGTTTGCATCTCCCAATCATATGATTCTGGTATTCTGAAAAAAATGTAGATGATCCTGACACAATTTACACTAACACAAGCCTCATATATTGACTAACTTACTTATTGATGCATTATTTGTTGATTGGTTGTTCTATTTACCGTATAATCGTCACACCAAACGATTTTTTGATTTTTTCCATTAGCACTGCTCTCATATAAGTGCTGCAGCATTTATTAGCGATATATTCTATTTTGAATAAACATTGCTGCACTTGAGATTCATAGCCAAAGTGCTTTGATGCAGGGGTCTCAATTTGGAAGTCATTTACTTTTAAATTTTATAGTTTGATATGTAAAAGGTACATATACGGCCTCGTGGAAGAACACCACCTTGATGAACAGGCTTTCGTTGTAAAAGAATGAGTTTAATATTATATTGTTATTTTCTGGAGATCTGTTTAAATGAGTTTTCTTAGCTCATCTAATCTCATTTTGCTGCTCTTGGTGATATCCATCAACTGTGACTTCTGTGAGACAAATGATAATAAAGGGGCAATACAGTTAAAAACATGCAAATTTAATTGGTTTGCTTGATGTGGGTTATTTTCCGAGAGGTTCTTGCTTGTTTGCCGGAGGCCATCTAGATTTCTGGGAGATTTCTGTATTAACTTGCAAGGAGTGCTGTCATCGTGTATGAATCTACATGCTTCAATAGCCAATCAGGAAAAGTGTTCAGGATTTTATAATTTGTAGAAAACACAAAAGATAAATACAAACTCATTCATAATGACATCCACTTCAGAATTTTACATAACCAAAAGTGTTTGTAGAAATAAGTAATTTATTATTTTTTGCTTGAGCTTTTTAGTAATTTATAATTATTTTTCATTTCTGTATTTTTATTGGTCAAATAAATGAAATGAAAAGCAATCTATTTAGATAATTAAAGGATTTTATTATTTCATTACTGAAAAAGTTATTAATGCAAAACTAATTCAATATGATGAATACTATATTGTTTATTGATCTCCATCTCTCTGGGGACACGCGTGCT